ACTATGGACAAAACCAACCTACTAACCAAACGAGTTAAAAATTAAAGCACAACTTCATAATATGATTTACAGCAAGAACTAAAAAAAATTAGTAAATGTTTTGGCATGATTCATAGTTTTTTAGAAGACATTGTATCTATGGAATTACAGTGGAAAGCTACAAAGATAAGTGGTGATGAGGTAGGAAAACTGAATGATATATAAGACTCATGCTAGGGAACTAAAAGTGAAATGAACATAATTAAATAGATTTTAAAGGCAGTAAAGAAAACCACCACATTAGAAAAATTTAATTATTGGTGAACAGAGTGTATTTGAATGTTTCTTTTAGAAAGTATAGGAAATAATAATAGGGAATTGCTAAATATAGAGAACAGGAAGAAAGCAGATTAATTGGCATTAAATCGATATTCAAAGACATAATGGTAGAAAACCTTAATTTTTAAAAAAAAATTATTTTGTATATATTGAACCACTGTATAACATTAAACTTGTAAAATGAATTTTCCCAGCATGAATACACTGCATATTATTAGTCCAGTTAAAGGTATTATCACACATGTTATTATTAACAGATACTTTTCCATTTTTGTGTCCCTTAAATGTTTTGTATCTTTTTTTTCCCCTTAATTTGGATAGTCGCCTGATTATACTGGTTGAGTTCCAAGAAAACTAAGCAAAAGCAGATACGCTAAAAAGCTTTAAAAATAAAAGGTTAAGGAATAATCCTGTTGGCATCAGGGTAGAACAGAAAGTAGTTTATATATCAATGATTGAAAAATGAGATGGGGTCAGGCAGTGGCACAGAAGTAACGCGATGCTCCGCCAGGCTGATCCGCATGGCATGGTTCCGGGCTCACATGCAGAGACCTCCCTGACCGCGCTGGTTCACGTGTGCCCAGGATGTAGGACTGGCTGAAGCTGTCATTACGTTATCTCGTGGAAACCTTGTTGGGTATGCGTCACTCTCTCTCTTCATCTTGCCTGCTCATGGAAGAAACAAAGAAACTTAAGAAAAAATTTATTTATAAAAAATCAAATGAGGGCCAATAAATGGTGTATAGTTAAGGTGCCGGATTCCACATAGCCAACACTGTGATCTGAGTCCGGGACCCAGTGGCATGAAAATCACACTGGACATGTGTGCAGGCATGCCCCAAATCCCGAGAGAAAGGTGGAGAAGGGGCCGCGGAGTGGCCATTTCCTCTGGGGGAGGGGAGTGATTTCTCACATTCCTTTTCTCTGTCTCTCTCTGGTGAGCACATGTGTCCTACAGTAAAAACAGCTAAAAAGTCAGAATGAGTCTCACGCACTTGCTTTGTATTAAGTTTATAAAGACAGTGAAATGTAAGCTTGAGGGTTAAAAAAAAGAAAGCATTTTGTACAGAGTTAAATTGGCTTTTGTGTGCAGATGTTACAGAAAATCCTTCTCAGACA